CTATGATTTTATGATTGTGATTTTATTTAGAATTTCAGGAATGGCTTAATCTCCTTTATTTCCACTCCCCCATGTCTAATGAAACACCTCTGAATGTGTCATCGGAATCTTGATAGTTATGTATTGAGGTCGTGGTGCTGATCTGAGGTTTGCTCCTAGGGAATCCACTTCAGCTCTTCTAGTATCATTTTACCCCCAGTTTATTAGCATTACTGAGGTTACGTCTCAGAGCATGGAAGGATTTCTCATTTGGCTCAAGTAGCCTCTTGAGTGATGCAGTCTAATCACATTGGTTTATTACTGGCTGTCCTGGTTTCCTCTTTGTTAGTGCACCTGACTGTCCTCGGTAGACTTCTGTTGATTCTCTAGTTCTAACAAAAGCTCACAAGCAACTCAGACTAAATGAAGAGCATAATACAGGTTTTTGTGGAGCTCATAGGGGTGCTAGCTTCATAGCTATCTTTTTTACAAAACATACTTTAATATAGTACTAAAAAGGTTTTTTTCCCCTGTCTTCATTGCGTACAGAGGTCAAAAAATGAGATTACATAATAGAAAGAGTCCATGTTGTTGAGTCACTTAGATTAAGAAAAGCTAACCTTGTTGCTCAAAGTATTGTTTTTCTGCCTCGTGTACTGTGTGCATATCGGATTTATTGCTGTCTGTTAAACTCTGCTTACATAACTAACTGGGTTTGAAAAATGCATTTTTAAGCATCTCGGCCAGTAGATTAGAGAAACTGTTTACATTTAGTAAATCAATAACATTTTGAATTGGAATGACAGAAATATTTTTCCTTGAAGAAATACCCTTTGTTAGGCAGAGGTAGGTTATAAATGTCACTGATTCCTAGGGCTCAGTATATTCTGACTTGACATACAGTATTTTTGTTCAAGAAGAGGATTCAGCAGGCAATCTGTGTTTTAAGTCCTTAAAAAGTCATTTCCAGCTGTGCTTTCCAAGCTTAATAAGGTGGAAGCAATACTAACACTGTATGGGAGAGTTGAGGATTTGCTTTTGTTTTTATGAACCTATGTAAAGAGTTAACAGTTACCTGAGGATGGGAGGTAGTGGAGTGGCTACAGGACTGTAGCTCCCTCCTCAGATTTTCTCTCTGGTTCCACTGAGCAGAAGTGGCTGGAGCAACGAGGCTGCATGCCATGCTGGTGTGAGGGCAATGCCTGTCCAACTGCATCTGGCCCTGGCATGAGATGTCATAAGATACTTAGGTTCTAATTCATTTAAAGCACAAGTCTTCTCAAGGTTACCAAAATATTAAATATGTGCTTTTTAAATCTGATAAGGTAGAATGGCAGTTATAAATGCTGTATTCACTAAACCTCTTACAGCTAACATAGTATTAGTTTTACTCTAGGGCTTTAAGGTTAAAGCAGGAGAGCTGACAAATTTAAACTCGGCCCCAGTCTGCCGAGTCTGAGCTAACTGGAAGATAAGCCCTTGTGTGTGCTTGATTCCTAAGAAGACACAAGTACTTTACAACCCATGTCACCCTCACCTCTGATCGTGACCATAGTGTTATCGACTGACTGCATGACAAGAAACAAAGTAAGGATTGCACAAGCACCTGAAGCTTAGTAACAAGCACCTTAGTTAGTAACTAGGAGTATCTTCATTGTATTTCACATGACGTGGTTTCTTTACTAACTAAAATTGTCAGGTTGGAATGTGTGAGTTCTTCTGCGCTGTTTTAAATAAACTGGATCCCAAAGGCACTGTGGTTCTGCCTATGATCTCGGCCCCACCTTCGTCAACTGCCCTCCTGCTTGGCTTCATTGTGCTCTCTGTGATAGCAGCATCACTCTTGAGAATACTCAAGTGTAGAGTTTTCTAATATTGTCTGCTTAGACAATAAAAACAATCAAAAGGTGCACACCCTGCCTGTGCTGCAGCTTCCGCTCTTGCATAAGAATGGAAGGACAGCACTTGCAGGTGTTTCTGCTGTAAACCTGCTGTCCTTACGAAAACTGCTTTTCTTCTGTAAGCAGTAAAATATGATTGCTAGGCTTTCCTACTGGTTAGAACAGCAACTGGGAGCATCCATAGCAGGATATCTAACCACGGAACTTGCAGAAATACCCTCTGTTTTGATGTCCTGCCGAAATGCATTGTCCTCAAGCAATTGTCCTAATTTTGTTAGGATTGCAGAAAATTTGAAACAAAGCTGCAGATTTTGGCAGTTCAGCAGGAGGTGGCTGCCAGTCTAAGGCACAGATGGATGTATCTGGAGAAGCCAAAATAGCATGGTCTTTCTGTTCCTTTCTTAAAAACATCAGAAAGATTAGATTTTTAGCACTTGAAATGGCTGAATTTAGATTTTGAGATAAAATGCAGCAGGGAGAAACCGTGTCTTGTTTAGTTCTCTTCCACAGATTTTTTTGTGCATTTAGGAGATCAGAACCATATTTTAATTTTAGTTTGTTTAAGCAGCCTGGGGTTGCAGAATACGATTTTATGACATAAGTGAACTCCACAGCAGATCTTGTATTTGTGGGCTATATATGTCTTTGGTGATATTTGCACCCTTTTTAATTTCATGTTGCCAAGAAATTTCTTCAGAGTTCACTATGGCAGTAGACTTCCCATGCGCTAAGCTCTTCACACTTTTTTTCCCTGTGCAGCTGAGAGGAAGGGGTCAGAAAACTAGTCTCTGCATTCAAGACACTTGTTCATTGAAATTAGTAATTGAAGTTAGTGGAGGTTTAATATTAGTCTTAATAGGTTCTGATGCAAGGCCACCTGCAGTTATTCAGCTTAGTCACAGCAAAAAGTTGCAGCGAAGTAATGGGTAAGTGTGGTTGCTGTAGCCCCTAGCAAAAGCAGCTTTGTAAGCATACCTGGATACAGGGCTTCGTTAACAGCCTGTGCAGCATGAGGTGTGCTGTCGTGCTGCTCGGCTGTCCTTTGACTTCTCTGATCCATTTTTAAACAAATGCATACAGACAAAAGCATTTTCAGGCCTATTCTTAGTAGGCTAAAGCCTATTTTGACAGACTGTACTGTTGAGAGAGTTGATTTCCTTTATGACTTACTAAGCTTTGTGCAGTATTTCTCTAAACTTTTTGTTTCTGTTTCTGCATCTTCATTCTTTTTGGTGTTTTTCATCTGCAGGTATGGGGATGTTCTTCTCTGCCTAGCTGTGAAGTGACTCACTTGGAATTTTGTGTTCAGTTGTGAACATGTGGTTGCTAAATTTAATCTGATGCTTAGATTAGTTTATTGTGAATAAACAAAAATAATTGGCTACTAAGGTGAAAACTTATGTGGCGAAGAATTAAAAGGTCAGTCAGCTTAGTTGGAATTTAGGTCTGTGTCTTAATAAACTTACTGGGAGGACGTAGAAGGAAGATAACATTATTAAGAAGTCATAGTGGGTTGGTTGTAAATGGAAATAGTGCGATGTTGTTTTATGAAGAAGTATCTGACGCTGGGTGAAATGCCTTGGCCATTGTTTTGTTGGGTTTATTGGTTCTTTCAAAGGAAGCAGTGGATGACCTGCTTGATTGAGCAAAATGCTGAGACCTGTGTAAAGGAGAATAGTCCTGCATATCTTGGAGATAAGCAGTGGCATAGTTTTCTAGGCTGCTTTTACATTTCTCTGCAGATCTAATCTAAGGTACCCAGACATGTTCATTTTATAAATTTAATCATCCAGTTCACACCTGATTTATATTGTAATTTTGAGTGGAGAGGTGCATCTGTTTTTGGAGGAGCCTGAAGCAGTAGGTGTTCTCAGGTTGTGCTTTCCATATTCCAGAAACACGGATTTCAGAGCAGTGGCCGTAGTTGGCTTGATTTGCAAAAGTGTGCAATAGTTATGGGTATAATTGCATAATGTTTGAATGATTTGAGTTCTAGCCCAATATAAGCTTTAGATCTTCATTAGCCTGAAGGAAACTGAATATACATTTGTTGCATCCCAAGTGAGTGTCACAAAGAAATTAAAGACATCTGGAAAGAGGCATCCATTCTCCAGTCCTTCTATCAAGAACAGGTCACCAGTTAGGTTAGGGCAGAAGTGCAAGATCAAGCAAAGAGCCAAGAGGAGGGAACATAGAGGTCAGGGACCTCAGGGAGCATGAAAATCTTTTTTTTTGAAACCCTTAGTTGTGTTTCATAACTAAAATTGTCCCACGTGAAAAGCCTAAATAGTCCAAAGAGCTGGCATTACAGTGTCACTCCTTTTAAAAGAAAGTTAATTTTTCTGGGAGAAGGGATGTCACAGATTGAAGCCTCCTTTGATAAAGGGAGATGAAGTGTTGGTTTTCTACATGTTGAAGTGTTCTCATTAATAAGTAGTTATTAGTGAAAGGTGAAGTGATTTGGCCAGATCTGCATAGCCAGTGACAAAAGTTGAGTTTAAGCAGATTTTCTTGTTGCAGTCACCAGTCCTGTCCACTAGTCTGTAGCTGTCCTACTGACTCTGGTTTCAACAATGATAATAAATATTGTGATGTGTCTGTGATTTTTTTTTTTTTAAGTTTTCTTTTCTTGCCTTTTTTCCATGTTTGATACCAGATGTTTAGAAGTGCAATTTAAATAGATGAAGTGTAGTTTAAATCTATTCCTGTGTAATACATCTGGAATTTCAGATCTTGGAGCAAATTATGCTTATTCAAATATTTGGTTAGAGAAGTTTAATTACCTGGTTAATCCTCTGGGACAAGGAGATGACTTCTTGCGTCTTCCTGCCCTCTGACTGGTGTTCCTAGAGCTCATGCTTTGTACTTCTTCAGCAATGTCTGGGTCTAAGAGAAGTGCGGTGGAGTAAATTCATTGTACCAAAAATCCAGGTTTTCTTGAGTAATAATGTTCTGATTTTCATTTTTTCTGGTATAATGCATTACTTTGATGTACTCTGTTGTCAACTGTTGTATGTAAAAATATCCCTTGGAACTAAGTGTGAATTCTAAGTGTTTGAGTATGTTTAAGATGTTCCATTATCCTACATCATCCTTATCGGTGTTTTGTTGCTTTTATAGATTACCTTTCTCAAGGGATAGATCTCTCTGGAATAGAAGTAATTGAAAATGACTTGCTTTTTATTGCAAGAGCTCGGATTGAGGTGGAAAACCAGGCTAAAAGGTTGCTTGAGCAAGGTGTGGAGACTCAGGTAAAATACCCTTTCTTCTTTACTTCCTTTCAATAGTGAAGTGCAAAAATATCTTTGACCTTGTTTTCCTTTGTTTTGTACAGCATTGTTTAATGGAGATTAAACATGAAAGAAGTCTTACGTGAGAAATTCTCACACATGAGACTACCCAAAGAAATTGTCAAAACCATCCTTCTACAATATTTGCAAGAATAAAAATTGTATTTTGGTTTTGGATCCTGCAAAATTTGCAGGATCTGACCCTGAAATTTGAGAGAAAGTAGGTGGTGATCTAAAGTCTTCAGCACTAAATTCTGTGATAAAAGCTTGATGAATGATAGGACACTGCATTATGCCCAGTATATTACATTGCCAGTATTGCCACACTTTATAGATACATCTGAAAAAAATGCAGTTTCTTTGAACTGCATTTAGTTGCAGTTTCAGGTTGTGCAGTAGTATGTTGAAGCATTTTATAAGATTTCCTTTTAGAACTTTGAAGGGTAGTTTAAACTTTGATGTAAATATTCACTGTAGGGAATATGAAAATGAATATGCATAATTACATCCATCCATATTAAATGTAATTATCTACATTTTTAATAATCTGGCTATGTCTGTTATTTAACTATTTGTAGTATCATTAGTGCTGTCTTCTTGCCTTTTAAAAAATTCATGTTCTTTTGCCTATACTTTTTTGCATTCTTTAAAAAAATGTATTTTAAATCCCTGTTACTACAGTGAGAGCAAAAATCTAGTACAAGTTCCTATCAAATTTTGGTTTTAAAGTAAAGAACAAAGAGGACTAGAGCAAGAGATTTTTATGCTGTTTGTTACCAGTGGTTAAGCTTACCTGTAAGTCAATACAGCAATTATTTGTACTGTTGATAGTTGACATGGAAATAGAACATAGGCAGAATGGAAAACTTCTTCATTAAATTAACTTGGTTAGATAATTGGGGATTAAAATTATCTGTGTCTCAAACTTTTGTTTAGAAATTTCAAGTAATTTTCTGCAATAAGAAGTCATGTGGTAAATACCTTTTGATTATTTACTGATAGCAAAATGGTAGGAAAAAATAGCATCCCGTTTTTTACTTAATTACTGTTCAAATGTTGAAAGTCCTGGCTATTTGAGTATGTTATCAAGCTTGTTACAAGCTATGAAGCATATGCACTGTTAAATAAAGACTGAACAAAGATAGGGCCTAAGAAAAAGCAAATGTACATTTATTTTAAATGTGGCAGAAGTCTTCATCTGTGTGTACTTCTAGTTTTTCATGTCGGATTTGACCTTCTCAGATAATTTTCTCTTCATATTAAGTACTAAAATGGATCTGACAAAGAAACCCTGGGGAAATCAGTCCCACTCAACTTGAAAAATAGACAGATTTATTAGGTGTTTCAGGCTGTATCCAGGTAATCAAGAGATTATTAAAGTATATGCCTGTTGTGCTTTAGCCAGGGGCCTGTTTCCAGCAAATGGAAGATTGTTTGGAAGAACATTATCAGAAGTGGGGATGTTTTCATGAAGGGGTGTTGGGATATGCTTCACAGGTTTGTTGTTGGATATGGTTCGTGGATTTAATGTTGGAAAAATAGTGTGCTTCAGAAAATATGCAGGTATTGCCCAAGAAATCTAGAATTTGAAATATGACTTTGAGATAGTGTGTCTTTGATTCTTAATATTGTAGCTCTGTGTTTTACATTTCCATTTACATGTACATTTATTTACATTTATACCTTCCAAACTCTGAGATTGCTCATAAGAGGACATGGGATTCCTCTGTGTTTTGTACCACAGAATTGCTCATATGGGCTGTTTTCCTGCTAGCTAATTTCCTCATATGGGCTGTTTTCTGGTAGCTAATTATGTACCTTTGTGATCAGTGTACCTGTATTTATACACGTAGTTCTTCAGTTCCTTAGTATTTATATTTGCAATTGCAGTTTTAGTTTTCACCTTAGTTTTGATCTGCTGTGTAAATAATACATGAGATCAGTTGTGTGCATAACAGTATTTCATCTAGCACTTTTCAGCAATGCCTTAAGAATATTAGTCTTATGTCCCCATTTGAGAGTATTTCAGTGTCCACCTCGAAGAGAAGCAGGAAATGGAAATATATAAAAACCCTAAAACTATAAAGTATCTCCTTTTAAGCAGAAGTCATTAGAAGTTGGTGAATGCTGCCTTTAGAATTCAGCTAGAAGTTACTCTGAAAAAAAGAACAGAGCTAAGAATTTTAAACTGCCCCTTTCAACATTTTGATATATCACCTTTGTTTATATAAGAAACTGTTTTTGTTGTTTTGATTACTTATTTAATGATGTGCAAGTCTTTCTAGTAAGCCGTGCCTGGGTTCTCTCAAATAATGGCCAGTAGCACATGAAAGCAGATACTTAGAATCATAAAATTATATAATAGTTAGGGTTGGAAAGAACCTTAAGGACTATGGGCAGGGACACCTCACACTAAACCATGTCACCCAAAGTTCTCCAACCCGGTCTTGAACACCGCCAGGGATGGAGCATTCACAGCTTCCTTGAGCAACCCATTCCAGTGCCTCACCACCCTTACAGTGAAGAACTTCTTCCTCATATCCAATCTAAACTTCCCCTGTTTAAGTTTGAACCCATTACGCCCCATCCTATCACTACAATCCTTAATGAATAGTCCATCCCCAGCATCCTTATAGGCCCCCTCCAGATACTGGAAGGCTGCTATGAGGTCTCCACACAGCCTTCTCTTCTCCAGGCTGAGCAACCCCAACTTTCTCAGCCTTTCTTCATATGAGAGGTGCTCCAGTCCCCTGATCATCCTCGTGGCCCTCCTCTGGACTTGTTCCAACAGTTCCATGTCCATTTTATGTTGAGGACACCAGAACTGCACGCAATACTCCAGGTGAGGTCTCACGAGAGTAGAGTAGAGGGGCAGGATCACCTCCTTTGACCTGCTGGTCACGCTCCTTTTGATGCAGCCCAGGATACAGTTGGCTTTCTGGGCTGCGAGCACACACTGAAGCCAGCTCATGTTCATTTTCTCATCAACCAGCACCCCCAAGTCCTTCTCCGCAGGGCTTCTCTGAATCTCTTCTCTGCCCAACCTGTGGCTGTGCCTGGGATTGCTCCGACCCAGGTGTAGGACCTTGCACTTGGCATGGTTAAACTTCATGAGGTTGGCATCAGCCCACCTCACAAGCGTGTCAAGGTCCCTCTGGATGGCATTCGTTCCCTCCAGCGTTATCAACCGAACCACACAGCTTGGTGTCATCGGCAAACTTGCTGAGGGTGCACTCAATCCCACTGTCCATGTCAGCAACAAAGATGTTGAGCAAGACCGGTCCCAACACCGATCCCTGAGGGACACCACTCGTTACTGGTCTCTAGCTGGACATTGAGCCATTGACCACAACTCTTTGCGTGCGGCCATCCAGCCAGTTCTTTATCCACCGAGTGGTCCACCCATCAAATTGATGTCTCTCCAATTTAGAGACAAGGATGTCGTGTGGGGCAGTGTTGAACGCTTTGCACAAGTCCAGGTAGATGACATCAACTGCTCTACCCCTGTCCCTCAGTTCTGTAGCCCCATCATAGAAGGCCGCCAAATTGGTCAGGCAGGATTTCCCCTTAGTGAAGCCATGCTGGCTGTCATCAAGCACCTTGTTGATTTTCATGTACCTTAGCATGCCTTCCAGGAGAATGTGCTCCAAGATTTTGCCAGGCACAGAGGTGAGACTGACTGGTCTGTAGTTCCCCGGGTCATCCATTTTCCCCTTCTTGAAAATGGGGGTTATATTTCCCTTTTTCCAGTCATTGGGAACTTCACCTGACTGGGCCCCTTGCTGCACTTCCTTCTGGTTGGGATGCAACACTCCTGAGCTTGTAGCAGGTGATCCTTGAATATCAACTAAGAGACTTGAGCCCCCCTGTGCTCTAGGGCTGTATGCCATTTAACCTTACTAAGCAGGTTCCTGAAGAGGTCAAAGTCTGCTCTCATGCAGTCCAGGGCAGTGAGCTTGCTGCCTGTTCTGAGGATCTCAAACTCGACCGTCACTGCAACCAAGGCTGCCCTGGAGCGTCACATTTCCAATGAGCCGTTCCCTGTTGGTGAGCACAAGGTCAAGTACGCCACCTCTCCTGGTCGGCTCCTCTGTCACTTGCAGAAGGAAGTTGTCTTCCACACAATCGACGAACCTCCTGGGTTGCTTGTGCCCTGCCCATTGTGCACCTTCCCTTCACCAGACCAGTGCAGGCACTCTCTACACATTCTCTCTCTTTGCTCTTGTAGACAAAAGTAATACAACTAATAGCAAACCTGATCAAGCAGAGGTACCACTGGCTGCTGGGATGTTCTTTATTGTCATGTATGGTTTTTTAGGCACTCCTGGTGTACGTAGCACAAACTGATGCTCTTTCTTGAGCCACAAAACATTGTCAGGAAAATTGATTGATTCTGTGTAGTCCTGAAATCCTTGCTAGCTTTTCTTCAGTCTGTAAGTGGGTTAATGGCAGGTAGTATAGAAAGCAAGAGAGGCTGCTTTAACAGAGATGCATCGAGAACTTTAATAAAGCCACCATTCTAAGATGAGAGACAGCAATGTTTTCTGCTTTAAAAAGAAAAAAAGAGCTATGTCTTCATTGTGCAACTGCCTGAAGCATCCCCAGCATTTCTTTTGCTCATAGGATGAACCCTAGCCTGAGAACTCTAGATTTTCTCTTGACTCCACCTCTATATTCAACAGCAGTATATCTGCAGTATAAAGCAGATCTAAATAATAAGAAATTACTTGGAACAAGAAAAAAGTTTTAAGATTACCATAGGTCAATTCCAGATAGAACAGTTTTGAGAGAGACTGTTGTGGATGCTGTACAAAAAAAAAAACCTCTGCAACTTAGCTCACACGTCAAGCCCTTTCTGCTATGCATTGTCATGCTTAGTATGGAACTTTGGGATACCCAAACTTAGTTTCATCAGGTAGTGGTAAGGTTGGTAGCGTTGGGAGCCAGGTTTTGTGTGTGCA